GCATTTTACTTTCACTTTCAAATAGCGGCAATTCGGAGTAAAGCAATTGTTCGTTTTTAGTTCGTTTGAATTTTTCCTCGCTTTCCGTCGCTTTTAAGCTGCCGTGCGCATTTTACTTTCACTTTTGAATTAGCGGCAGTTCGGCGTCAATTGCTTGAATGCAACGACAAAATACAACGTCAAACTCACTTTAGCGTATATATAAAACATAGAACTTTTATTAACAAAACTAATAAAAATACACCATGCTATAGGTTATGCCTAATATAAAATAACAAATAACTTACATAAAGTTTAAATGGGTATACAAAACTGGAAATGAGTAAACATGTATAATATATAACCAAATAAATAAGAAACGTAGAAGGTTTATTAGCAAAACGAGTAAGAAAGCTTGGAGGCACGGCATACACCTTGATGTCAAATAAAATAAATAAATGACACAAAGTTTAAATAAAGTAAAAATCAGCAAACACTGTGGAACCAATTAAATAAAAAAACGAATGTTTAAAAAAACTTCCAAAATCAGATAAACGACAAAAGTCAACAGGCTTTTCAAAATCCAAAATATTGCCAAACAGGCACTTTTGCATTTCGTTTCGAAACTAAATCATCCGCCATCGTCTTAACACCGGTATCACCGTCAGCACCGTCTATCGCGGCAAGCCTATTCAGTTCTGCCCCACAACGGTGAAGACTACAGCACTGAACTCTACTGTGCTAGAGTGTAATGTACTGTATACGTTATTTATGAAACGCTGTTGTGTTTTTGTGCCTCTCTCTGTGTCAGAGGAGGACTTTGAGAAGTTGCCCGAGTCAACGGTTCCTGAGATGCAGCGCTCGAATCTGGCTCCGGTCATCCTGCAGCTCAAAGCTCTGGGCATCGACAATGTGCTGCGATTCAGCTTCCTGTCTGTGAGTGACCCCTGACCTCAGCTAACAGACATCAGCGCGCGTGTGAAGCCTTGCTCTGCGTTGAGCGTCAGTGTGTTTGTGTTGCAGCCTCCTCCTGCTCAGTCCATGGTCCAGGCCCTGGAGCTGCTCTACGCTCTCGGAGGTAGAAGATCAAGAGCCTTTCTTTCTCTGATGCGTGAGCTGCATGTGTTCTCATACGCTCTCGCTCCGGCAGGTCTGGATCAGTACGGCCGTCTCACTGACCCCATGGGGGTGCGAATGGCCGAGTTTCCCCTCAGCCCCATGTTTGCCAAGATGCTGCTGGAATCAGGAAACTTCGGCTGCTCTAAGGAGATCGTCACTATAGCAGCCATGATGCAAATACAGAACATTTTTGTAGCGCCGCACAACCAGAAGAAATCAGCTGTATGTGTTTTTTTTTGTCTGTTTTGTTGGTTTTATTTATGCTTTCTTTGAATTCCCTTGAACTGATTTGTACCAGTAAAGCTTTGGTTGTTGTGTCTGTCCTGTGGCATCAGGCGCGGGAGCGCAGGAAGTTCGCTGTGGCCGAGGGCGATCATCTCACCATGCTGAATGTTTACGAGGCTTTCATAAAGGTAACTGATAACGCTGCTTGTCAGGACCTCACTTAAATCCACTTTAACCGGGGTTTTGTCACCAAAGAAATGATAATTGTTTGAAAAACATGTTTGCATTTAGATTCTTAACCGTCTTGACTCCAGTGCCCTCAGTTGTTCACAACATAATTTAACATTTTGATTTCAATTTGCAGAAATAAAAAAGGCCACATATTAAATGAAGTGTCCACATATTGAAATAATAAACTAATCGCAATTACAATAAAAGTGGTAACATTTCCGGATTCCTGAGGTTGTTCTTCAGGGATTCCACTCTTTTTAACCAATACATTTACATGACTTTTTTGGTCATTTCTGATTTACTGGATAAGGATTTAAAAAAATAATTTTCACTAATTATTAGAAATCTAGAAATCACACTTTTAAAATGTTTCTGTGGGAACCCTGGCTCTTCAAAGATGAAATGGGATGAATTAAACGATTATATATCTTTATTTTTAGTTGTTTTGTCTTATTTTAAATCATAAGTAGGGCTCCAAGATTTGGGGAAAAATTAAAAATTTTCTGATAAAAAAAACGAATTTATTATTATTTTATTTATTTATTTATTTAATTTGCTGTGCTTGTTTATTTGACAGAAATATAATTTACACCTGTACTGTGCTTATACTGTAGTGTGTTATTATTATCTAAAAGTATTTACAAATTGTTTTTAGTAATTGAAATTAAATAGAATAGGACAATTAGGCTAGATAAATATTAGATTAGATTAGAAATTTAAATGAACTAACTGAAATGTTAAAATTGAAGAACAGCAATAACTGCAACTGAAATAAAAATAAATTAAAGTTAAATGTAAGTATAAAAACCAAAAAGCTATTAAAAATAATACAAATTATTTAAACAAAAATGTAAAATATAAAAATCAAAACTTCAAAATCAAAACGATATAGTATACTACATGTAAGTATGTAACCACTGTTGTTTTATTTGTTATTTTTCCATTTGCTGTGCTTGTTTGTTTGGCAGCACAGTTTGTGATTATACATCAATTATGACCCAGAGCCAATGCAGAGATTTAGTGCGAACTGATCTGATCTGAGACGCTGAAAACACTGGCGAGTCATGATAAATGAACACAGTGTCACGCTTCACTCTAAAGCAGCGCATATTTGTACTGAATTAAGTCACAGCCTTTGCAGTTTGATAATTGATAAGGTATATTGCAGTCTCAGTTTTATTTCAGTGAATCGTGCAGCCCTGATTTTAGGTCGACTTGAAGCCCTCTGTTTGACAACCACAAATGGAAATAATGTGATGTTTGGCTAAAGGTTGTTTGCATTGGTATTTTGATATCTATTGATCCAGCATATGTCGCATGTGTTCTCAGCATCAGAAGAGCTCGCAGTGGTGTCAGGATCATTTCCTCAACTACAAAGGGCTCCTCCGGGCCGTGGCTGTGCGCGAGCAGCTGCGATACCTCCTCAACAAGTTCAAGGTGCCTCGGACCTCCAGTGAAGGTGACTCCTCATCCTCTCCACCATATCACATTATCACATTGCCCTGTCAGTTGCACCTAACACTTTATCTTGATTTCATGATTTTCTAGTGTTGTTCTATCAGTTTTCATACTGGTCCGTCGCACCATCAGACCACATTGTCAGTGTGTCGTGTTTTCATACTACCGTTCGTCATATCGGTAACTTGCTTCATCCTCAGACTTGAATAAAGCAGTAAGCCCCGTGAAGCCGTGGTTTACAGTGAATTTATAACAGCTAAGGGG